TCACTATTCGTACTCCAGTAGTTAACCCTCGAGTGAATCATACTAGGATAAGCCAAAAGTTTCTTCCCCCCTATTTTTTTTTTTTTTTTTTGAATAAAATATCAGAATATAAAAACATGATAATGTTTTCATTATTATTTTAAAAATTATTTCTTTCGATGAAATAAATATATAATGAAAGATTTATTTAGTAGGAATTTCGTGACTAGATGGGAATTTCGGCCCATCCTATATAAAATAACATCACAGTTTATCGACATATATAAAATATAAATATATAAAACATTGTATAAATTTAATATAAATATATAAAAGCATTAGTTTATAAAAATTGTCAGTAATCATCATTGCCACAGTTGAGTTCATTAATCAATTCCCGAGCCAACGAAGAATGTTACAAAGAAGATGAAACGGATAGAAAGAAATTACGTTTGCGCGGTAAATTTTGATTTCGCTCGGAATTCGTTGGTGTCGCCACCCTGGCATTTAACGGCGTAATTTCGTACTTAACGTGGCATCAACTTTCAACTCAATCGCGCTGTACTTGGTTTTGGAAGTTATCGCAGGCATTCACGCCTGGTACATACACACATATATACGTACATGTGTGCGACGTTCAGTTTCATCTTGTAGTTAATTAATATATCACCAGCGCGAGCCGGAAATTCTCGAAATTCGTCACGCTGGCGAAGAGAAAAAGAGGCAAACGTTTCGTCGTTCGGCCTACGCGGTCGCGCTGTTTTCCTGTTCGATAATGAGCGAGTTGCTGGGCAATTGTGTTGTTCAGGGGGCAGCCAGTGACCGAGCAGATTGCACGTGTGTGTTATTGCTTTTGGCCTTCGTTGGCCACAGCCTCGAACGAGGAGAACGTCTAAAATGTAACATATAATTTGCATCGCCAATAGAAAAGATCAAAAGAAAGGTAGGAAATTACAATTACATGATACGTATTTACATTCTATCCGTGGGTATACATAAAACATTTTATGTTTGATATTCAAGAGGCCTGTTAATACGTTTCACGATTGACGTTGTTGGTATCGTCATATACCGGGTACATTTCCGTAATTGTCTTCTACTACGTAAATTTGAAGAAAAAAGTAAAACAGAAAAAAAAAAGAAACAGAAGGTAGAAGAAAAATGATCGAGCTTTGACGGTTGGAATGTGACGTCGTAAATTGAATAAAACATAAACGATGATATTTGAATCGTAGTAGAGCCTCGTATTGGTTTGTAGCTAGATGCAATCTCTGTTGTCTCTACAATTCGTGTAAATCTTGATTAAAAAAAAAAAGTTCATCGCGAAAGAACAACCGTGTGATTATTTTTTAGTCTGAAGAAAAAAAAAAAAAAAGACTTCGCAACAGTTTCAGTTATTCTTCTCATTGAATAATAGCGGGTCTTTACACCAATTCCAGTGTAAATTAAATTCACTTATCCCTGATCAACTATAATTTCATACGCCGTCGCACGACAATTCCGAAAAAAAAAGAGCTACATCGCAGTCGAACAATTCTAGTTGTTCCAAGAGACGAATAACCGTTTTTCTAACGGTAGTTCTTCTGGAATTCAATTCTCAATCGCTTCTTTTCTTTTTCTTTTTTTCTTCGAATTTTTTTCGCAAAATCCCACGAGAGCGCGCGAGTTCACCTCGTGAAAAATGAAAAAGAGAAAAAAATACTACGGCGGAACTACGGTTCATAGAGATTCGAGATTTGCGCGTCATTCTTCCACACGCGCGCGTAGAACTCACATGAGCGCTTATTACGCGATCGTCCACGTTACTATCACGTGAAAGAGACGTTTTTCTCTCTGATTTCCATGCCTGCATATTTTAACATACATATATACGCGTCCGTGCCTTATTGTCGCTGGATTATCCTTCTCTCTTCTGTGTTCTTTTTTTTCTGTTGGTTCTCCGTTTTCTCGAACGTTCAGGGGCATTATCACGCGAGACTCGATCACGAACCAGATCACGATGGGACGATAACGGATAACGGAAGAATTCAGCTGATATTATTCTTAGCTAGATCGGTGTACACAATCGATTTTCATTATCTGTTGGACTTTCCTTCTTTTTTTTTCATACCTAAATTCTCCTAAATTCCGTTTGAGAAATCAACTTTTTCGCAGAATCCTACTGAACAGTTTTTCTGCTTTAATATAATATGTGATATTTAACGTAATTAACAGAATATTATGCAATCTTCCATTGAGTTTGAATGAATGAACGGCTTTTTGTACAATAATTAATGACCAGTGTCACGAAGATAAGGCATTTATCCACCGAACTTTGAAGCTTATGTAAGTTTTGTATGTATTGATTGTCGATTGACGTGCACGTGTTTCAACGTTTGGAAAAAAGAAAAGGAAAAAAAGAGACACGTAAAATGAAGAAATAGCGTGACATCTTCGTTCGGGTTTGACGTGCGAGTTTTCAAGACCGCTCTTTCAGTCAAATCACTCTTGACATCGTCTTAAAGAAACTTGATTTATCTATTACGGTCGCTCGGATCGACTTTCGAACATTTCGTGAAATGTGTAACACGAATGTTGTAACTTCGATTATACCGAACCAACGTTGTCTACTCTTAGCTTAGGTACATGGTATTTTTTTTTTTAAATAAATTCTCTTCCACGTATATTGTCTTTGCTTCCTCCTCTTGGTTGTAATTCACAGTTCTCGCGATCCTTTCGCAAAGTGATGAAATTCAATTTTTCTTCGAAATCCCTTCCCGCGTTACGTAAACGTTGGTATGTCCGTTCGTACCAGGATATAAAGGAGCCATTCTCTGCGTTAGGTTTCTTGGAATGTCGAGAAGAAAAATGGCAAAACGCGTTACGCAAGCGCGATTGTTTAATAACTCATTCTGTGCGAAATGTTTGAAGAATGGTAACTTAAAAAGAAAAAGAAAAAAAGAAATAATGGCAACAGTGTGAGAAATTAAGGATCAATATTTGAATATTGTAAGTTTCGCGCGCGCGCGAAGCGTAGAGCAACTCGAACACATTTCCGACTAATTTCTTTTGTGAACTCTTCTTTCCCCGATTGAAAGTTTCAACAATTTTATTTAATACGTCAGCGTCGCGTCGCGTGAAGTATGTAGAAAGAAATGAAAGTATCCTGTGGTAAAAATGGCGATTTACTTTATTTTTGCAGAAGCAATATCTCGTTGTCCTGCCACAGTTCATGCGGGAGCGTCGACGATGGCCTCCAAGGATCTCATCCCCAGTATCAGGACACGATCCTTACCATCGAGGAACTTCGTGCTCAACTGAACTCTTGCTTCACGTGAGTTTCCACTCTCTTCTTTTCTTCCCCCCCCCCCCCCAATAGCAATCGACACGACAGTTCCTTTTTATTTTGATCTCAACTAGTTTAAATTACAGAGTATTTACATATATATTGCTCGCGATCATTCATGTTCATTAGAATGTAATCCACAATAATCACAGTAAAACGCGTCACGCGAATAACGTTATTATGCAGATGAGGTTAGGCTCAGGAATTTCGCTTAATGGAGGACGAAGTTGAGAAAACGTGATATTCAAGTATTTTTCCCCGTATCTTCCGCAGGAAAACTCACGAGGATTCCCCCTTATCTGCTAATTGCGAAAAGTATCCGATTATTCGGAAATGAATCCTTAGTAAAGTAAATACTCTTTCATCTTGATGATGATTTAATCCTTATTAGTGAAATAAAGTAAATAAATAAGTATTATTAGTATTATTAATATTATTAATAAATATTATTAGTAAAATAAAATAAATAAATAAATTAGTAAAAATAAATACTCTTTCATCTTGATACCAGAGCCAAACGACATACACACTGAAGTTACAGATTGCATCAAACCGTGTAACATTCGTCGGTAATAGAGGGGAAAAAAATAATGGATTAAATTTGATAAGTTTCTTATCTATTACGTCAAGAGTATACTTGTGTCAACACGTGAAAAGTTGTGGTAAATATGGCCGACTAGAGCAACAGTCGAGAAACTATTAACCCGAGTAATACTTCCTCGAGTAATCGTTTTTTAATATAGGCCAGTAATTACGCGCTCTCCTTGGGCTGTTGACTTCAAATCGTCTTGCATGATCGTTCTACGTATGCGTGCGCGGATGCGTCAGCGAGCATCGCACGTTCTGAGAACGATTTGCGACTGGCCGAGCAAAAGTTGAACTTTTGTCCCGGCGTCGAGCCGGTAATAGATCGACAATAGAATCCGACATGATCCGGACTCCGGCGGTGATTAAATTCATTTTAGACAGACGTCGACCGCGCTTATTACACGCGTCAAACGCCATACCGGGTGAAATCTGGTTTAAACTCCGTAATTCCCCGTACATACTTCATTGTTTCAATTCTGACTGTTGCGTCACTGACTGATACTTTGACACGATTTGCAATTTCGAAATGGTAGATCCCTTTGCGATCGATCGTGCCACAACATTCTGAACCTTCCGATCCTTTTTTTTTTCGAAGGAATTTTTTTTATTTTCGTAGTATCCGTGGATTTTCTAATGGTTCTAACAGCCACGATGACAATTCGTTGCATAAAAGAAACTGGAAACGTACGATTTACATTTATTGTCGCGAGAGAACTGTAATTACTAAAACGGTAAATTTATCCAAGTTCGTAAGTGTAACCTACTGTACCGGCTGAGGTTGAACTTAAGACATTTTCATAACCTATCGGAGTCAGGATTATATTTTACAATTTTATAATTATAGAATATCGGAGACTGCCTTGCGTAGTCGAGTTACTTGTTTTTTTTTTTTTTTTTTTTTTTTTAAATATAACTCAAGATTTCTAACTAATCAAATCATTTCATTTATTTTTTTTATTATATTACTATTATATTTAGTTTAATTTGTTTAAAGTATCGTAGAGCTCTTTCTGATCAAAGAAAAATTCTCTTTATTTTTAGATGCGGGGTTTCGTGGAGCGAAGAACACGTCTCTCTAGACTGCAGTGAGTGCGGTGGCTATTCCCTTCAACGACCATGCCCACTTTGTGACGGACGTTGCCGCGCCTCGTGGAAACGCGACCTTACCATGGTGAATATCTATTTTTTCCCACCCCTCTTAATTATCGTGTGCTCGATAAACATCGCGAAACTCGGTAAAAAAACTCGCCTCGCCCGATTGACTATCGCTTCAATCGCCTGTTTCCTGGATTAGATCGTAAAGATTCAAATAAGAAGTAAAACACGCGCTTATTTAAAATAAAAAGTGGAAAATCGTGCTTCGCTTGAGTAAGTAAATAAATCGGTATTTTTAATTGTACATAATTTAAGAATTAATATATAATTTAATAAAGAATTAGTAGCAGGAAAAAGCAAGACGGAAAGATAATCAAATCAATTCTGATATTTTAAATTAGATGTTCGACGTTGGCTATAAGACGGAGCAGTTGCATTTATCGATTTTGCGAGTGACATTTACAATGGCCCTGTGTTGCCACGAAAGGTCGTATTAACGAATGCTCTGCTCGCGATAAGCTTCGGGAATTGGTTGTGCAAAGCGGTCAATAAAATGCCGAGCTTATAGCAATAAAAAACCTATCGTAGCTTCGATAATTGAAGATTAAACAATTTCGTTGTTGCAACGTCAACAAAAAATTGGAATATTTTTTATCGGAAATATTTTTATCAGAAAGCGTAACAAAATTCTATATATTATATAACTATTTCTATGAACAATCAACGCTAATTGGTATGCTGATAATAGTACAATTGTCTGTCGTAAAAAAAAAAAAAAGAAATATGATATAAATTAAATACATTGACAGTCTCGAGCACCGCGAGTCTCTTCATTACGTCAAATGAATTGAGAATATACAAAAACGCTTTTATTTTTTACAGTCCCACGCTAGTGGTAAAGCAAGATGGATCGGCGAATGTGGATTAAGTTGCGGCCCCTCCATCGATGAACCAATGGTGCCCGCGTTGGAAAAGCTGCGGGCTACCTCGTGAACGGCGAATACATAGAGGGACCGTCGTCGAGTACTGTCAACCATGCACAAGACTTAATCCATCACCATCCATATAGCATCACCCCACCACCATTGTGCGAGTCAGAACCGTGTGAATGTGGATTTTGGATGTATAAATGATACATTATGTTCCTGGAGGAGCGAGAACGGAGCGGGCAACATTGGGACGATGGAGCCGTTCCTCTCCTGTGGCTTCCTTTTTGACAATGCATTACCATGAACGGCTCGACTAGCGACGCGTCTTCTCACAGAGCTTCACCGAAGGTCGCCGTTCTCGTTGGTCATAGTGTGAATCAATCGCGTCACCTGGATTTTAAGAAAAAAAGCGAACAGCTACCGCGTGGAATTTCCGCTACTGACGAATTGCTTCTTTGGTAGATTATATGTAATGTAACACCGCGTTCTCAATCTCTTTGTATTGCCGAAAAATTTCGAACGATAGTTGAGAGATACATACGTCGAACCACCGTGACTTTGAAATTCTGGAAATATTTCGTGGACGCCGCAGTCTTCTCTGCGAAAAGTGTAAGCGTTGATCTTAATTGATGGTCAAATGGTACAGTTGTATGTGTTTGGAAAAAATTGATGAGGGTTGTCGTAACATTTCGTTGATATTGTGTTAGTAGATATTCCGGCTAATTGGCAGATATTGGTGTTTGAATTGTTGTTTGAGTTCAGCACACACGTTTCGGTATTTCTCGAAGTAGCGAGAAAGTACTTGCGCGAGACGGTAGTAGAGCGTGAACAAGTAGTTCTAAAATGTGCACACGCGCGTGTTGTACGTCACGGTTTTACGGATCTATAATTAGCATTCTTACGTTTAATTACGAAAAATTATGGTCTAGGCTTTTTTTTCTATTAGCTAATGTAAATTTGGTCTCGAAAGAATGCAGCACAATGTTCGAGGTTTAAGTAACATTTTACGCGATTAAAATTATGAATTTCTCTTATCGGGTCAATTTGTAAAAAGTTGGTATCTTGGATCAAAATGTAGTTCAAAAGATATAAAAGGAAAAGATTAATATTTGAAACAATGGCATATGTATTTATTAATACAATAGAAAAGATTTACTGAATCAAAATTAGAAATTAAATTTTCATTGAAAGCTGAGAGAATTATATCTCTCTCGAAAGTAATATGCACTATATTCAAATAATAGTTTGAGAATTGTGAGAAATTTACAGTATAACGCGCAAGGAGAGTTGTTAAAAAATTCGAAGACGTATTAACTTCGTACAAAATTAATCAATCTGCGTTATTAAATTATAAATGGGAGCTATTTAATTACATACCATGTAAACGCATACAAGTGTGATTAAAAACTCGTTTACGAGGAATACAAAAACTTCTACATATTATATCAAATAAAATACGTCTTCGAGTGCACTTTTAAACGTTGGTGCTAAGTGCCAAGAACCACAAAAATTAGCCTAAGAAGCAGAACTGTGAAAAAAACCGGTTGAACTGTAGGAGCTAATAATAAACGTGAATTGAACTTCTTTTTACGATTTAAAAAAACGTCGTGTTTCCGATTGGAAAGATTCCAATTTTTTATTTGTCAAGTAAAAAAAAAAAAAAAAATAGCATGTAATACGTATCACTCTATATTTACTGTGTTTTTCACGTAATAATGTTTCTACTCGGTTAGTTAATGTAGCTTACATGAGAGAAACGATCAAAGAGAAGCATTTATGTTGGTGCCAATAATTTTATTGAATTTGTACAATTTCATTCGTTTTTTTAAACACTCGACAAAACATTTGTAATGTTAGTTTTCTTGAAACGATTGTATAATTTATGCACGATTTATTTCTGAACATATCTGTGTATTTTTTGATGGTGTAATGTTTTGTATGTGAGAACATGTTCATCAAGTTCATGCTCATTTTAAATTAAACTGTAACTTGTTAACATTTTCTGAAGTATTAGTCTACCTGCGCGAGCTTTAGTTTAATGCTTTAGAAAATACGTTTGGTAGCAATTTTTATTTAATCCGTAAAATTCTTATTTATGACCAGAACATTAAAATTATTATTATTATTATTATTATTATTATTATGGGTTTAATAAACGATATTCGTCAAAAATTTGTTTGTTTTTATAAACACAAAATCTCGTTAAATAAACACAGGACATAAATATATAACGCAATCATAACACGCAAAAAATAAAATTTCAGATACAAGATACGCACAATTTACACAAAAGAATAATTTTAATAAAAAAATAAAATCTCGAATAAAAGGATGTACGAAGCTCTCTCTTTTATTGACAATCTTATGTACATTTTTATCATGCTGTGTAGCATGTCTATTCAAGTTAAATTATGTCAAAGTACATAATTTCATTTATACATTTTCTGATTTCAAAATTAAATTGTGTTTCACGAAATATATAGTACGATAAAAATAATACACGACTGCAACAGACAACGTAGAAACAGACCGATCAGCTAAGAAGACACTAACTATGCTATATACTGAATGCTGAAATAAGTACTGACACTCCAAACTAAAATTATGCTATGTTAGGAAAGGAAAAATTTTACTACCAAATATCAAATACTGAAGAATTTTGAACACAAATACATTAAATCTAGTTACTGCTCTTCATTAAGACTGTTTCTACATTGATCCGCGAACTTAAGTATATAGCCGCATTGAAAGTGGCATATTTTTGTTGCACAACCTTTTAAGGAGTACTAACTCATGGATTATCGTACAAAATATCTCCATTAAATAGCTCTTAACATTATTGGATACAATTTGCAAAACTGTTCGGTAGAAAAAGGCATTGTTCCGACTGAGAATTACGCGAAGAGAAATACTGAAAAGATCGCATAGAGGTAGGGACAATGTTCCTCCATAAAAGATCTGTGCGTGAAATTATTTGCTGCCTGAATCACGCTAAAATATTTTACTATTTAATTTACGTAAACGTAACATTGATTCGCTAGGAGATCGGTCAAACTCTTCTTTGAAATAATGAAGATAATCTCAGCACCATTATCCTACAAGGACAACTAATCTTGCTTGCAACGTGTGCAAGTACTGACAAGAATTACACTTTGGTGCACATGGTTCACGTGCAATAATAAATAAAGTTGCTGTATTGTAATGATAGGATATCGGTAACTTCTTCTTGTCGGTTGTGTTCCGTCCTGTACAAAAATGAAACAATTGTATCAATGAACAATTCTACAATACATAGTGAAAGACGGAGAAATTTCATTGCTATGGAAATTGAAATTAAAATTACATATTTACTTTGAACAAAATCTTAGTAGGAACGAATTGCAGGTGGAACCGTCGCACATTCTTGTTTATTTAGAGTATTATCTATAACTGGTCTAAAATCGATAGATACCTGAAAAATAAGTGTAATTTGTCAAGTTATTTTTAAGAAAAAAAAAAAAAAAAAAAAAAAAAATTGTACATATTTGATACTTACTTCGCCTGTTTGGAGGTTGATGTGTGTAAGAGTGTGTTTTCGCCAATGTTGATCTAATGGTTTGGGCTGTTGGTTTTCTATCGATTTACTGTAATCGTATTCGTCGATTCTATCTTTAAAATCTTCGCGCGCATGAGCCCCGCGACTTTCTTTCCTATTTTCAGCAGCTACTATTGTTTGCATAGCGTTGATCATTAAATTTTGCAATTCAAGAGATTCTATAAGATCAGAATTCCATATCATTGATTTGTCCGACACCTTCAGATCGTTCAACTTTTTATACAACGCAGACATTTTCTGACATCCTGATGGAATTAACGAATATTAAATTTTCAATTGTTATCTGTTTCCAAGACAATTTTACATTAAATCTTGAATTAAATTTTTACCCTCTTGCAACGTTTCAGCCGTTCTGAACACGGCTGCATGAGTTTGCATTGTCTTCTGCATGCTCAATCTCAATTCTGCAGTAGAAATATTGCCATTTGCATTTCTAACCCAATCCAAATTCGCTACACTTTGTTCTCCAGCATTCTAAAACGTATACCAATCGTAATAATCGATTTTTGCATTATACATGATCGACAATCATTGGTAAGGTACATTACTAACAGGTTTCAAAGGTCCAATAGCTTCTCCTGGTTTATTTTCTGCTGCAATTGTTTTAGCACAAGCTCGGCCAAACACGACTAAATCTAATAATGAATTTGCACCAAGACGATTGGCACCATGAACAGACGCACAAGCTGCTTCTCCACAAGCGTAAAGTCCAGGCACAACTGTATCCTGATTATTTTTCCTCGTTAGAACCTGTCCTTTGTAGTTTGTAGGTATTCCTCCTACATAATTAAATTTTCAATAATATGAAATTGTTGCATAATAGTGTTTATAAAATTTAATTTAATAATTCATCTTTCCAAATAAAATTAAACGTACCCATATTGTAATGTACCGTAGGTATGACAGGAATAGGTTCTCTTGTTACATCGACTCCTGCAAATATCATTGCTGTTTCCGAAATTCCAGGTAACCTTGCCGCTAACTGTTCAGGTGGTAAGTGATGGAGTTGCAAGTAGATATGGTCCTTCTCTGGACCAACGCCTCTAAATAAAATTAAGTTATATTTATAAATGAATCGTCGCCAATTATATAAATTCTTTGGTAAACCATAAAAAAATTATGCAATGATAAATCTTTAGAGATAAAACATGAATAAATACAAATTTTTTTTCTATAATAAATTCAAACTAACATCGAATTTTAATCTGTTTCGATCACGAGAACATTTCTAAAATAGCATAAAATTAATTTCAAATTTTTATTATATGACTCCGAGATGTGTATGTGCATGTTTATGTAACTTACCTGCCTTCCCGGATTTCTATAGTCATAGACCTAGATACAACATCCCTAGAGGCTAAATCTTTTGCGACTGGAGCATAACGTTCCATAAACCTTTCACCTTCACTATTTACGAGATAGCCTCCTTCACCGCGACTGCCTTCAGTGATGAGGCAACCAGCTCCATATATTCCTAAAATCACAAATGATTTTATAAAAACATATTATATTAGTTCAATATAATGTTTGCAGATTATTTAATACCAGTAGGATGAAACTGCACGAATTCCAAGTCTTGATTAGGTAAATTGGCTCTAGATATCATTGCAGTACCATCACCAGTGCATGTGTGAGCAGATGTACAAGAAAAATATGCGCGACCGTAGCCTCCAGTCGCTAATACCGTATTCTTGGCATGAAAACGATGAAGTGTGCCATCCTCTAAATTAAGAGCAATCACTCCTCTGCACTCTCCATCCTCCATTAATAAGTCCAGAGCAAAATATTCAACAAAATAGTTGCAATCATAGCTCAGTGATTGACCATACAATGTGTGAAGCAAAGAATGACCAGTTCTGTCTGCTACACAACAACATCTGTGTGCTTGGCCACCTTTTCCAAATTTCAGAGATTGCCCACCAAAAGCACGTTGATATATTTTGCCTGAAAAAAAATCATTATCTTAAAGATTATCAATATACATAAGAAATCAATTTATTATGATTAATATTTCTAATCATTCTCTATGCTCTTGTAATATAATACCATGTATGTAACGTTTATTATTTCCTCCATATACAAATATCACTCTGAAATAAGCGTTACCAGTATAAATATAACAATATTTATGTACATAGCAACCATGAAATGACTTGTTATTTTTAAATGTCAATTATAAATTCATATCAACATCGTTTTTGATATTATTGTAAATTTTGATAGTAGTGATATTTATTTCTTCAGAAAGAGTAAAAATGCTTGAATATTATTGTAAATATTGAAAAGATAAACAAATTATATGGATTTCAATTATGGATAAAAATATAAATCAGAAGCAAAATTATGATGGATCTATTGGAAAGAATCAAAAAGATGAAGAGTACAAAATAAATAATCAGAGTCAAAAAATAAAAAATTCTGGATCAAATTACAGATTCAACTCAAATAAGTAATTTGTAAACTTCTATTACTTATTTTTTTAAATGATTGATTTATTATAGATTAATTAATCCTCCGCTGGCTTAATGGATCGTTGATAAAAATTTCATTGTTCAGTTTCTTAAATTTTTTTCTGTTAATTTGATGTCTATTGCAAAAATATTTGGCTAAAGTTTTATTTGTATATTTAATTAGAAACTAAAATAGTGCTTCAGAATTTTTTTAACGCCAATCTCTTTAATGAACAACCACTATGCCGATGGCGGATTATTAATTAACATTACAAAAATAATCACTACTATTTCTTTGCATAGTTTAAATCAAAGGGCTCATTCTCGATCTCGTTCACCATTTAGAAGTTCTAAACAATGGATAAGTTCTAATGCTTTTGTAAACTTTGTACAAGACTTCAGACAAGTAATTAAATGCATGAAAAATCATCTTTTAGTTATCAATAAAAAATATATATATATATAAATAATATATATATTTACAGAATTTTGCTGGTGTCAGAAGCACAAAAATATTTCAAATGGCTGGTGAAAGATGGAAGAAAATGTCTTCTGAAGAAAAACAGCCATATATAAAGGCAGCTATGAATATTAAAAATAAAAAGCAAAATCAACAAGAGATTGAAAACGTAAATAACGTTATTAATACAAATGCAGAACAACCAAAGAATGAAAATGCACAGAAACAAGAAAAACCTAACAAGAAAGAAACAAAGAAAGGGGTTATTAGTATTTTACTTGCTTAAAACAACTGAAGCTATATAAAATTAAAATGTAATATGCAACAAGTATAAATCTTTAATTACAGGAAGCAAACAAATCTACTAGGGATAAAAGCAATACAGAATCAGATAACGAATCAATTTTTTCTGATACAACAGCCACGAATACAAGTGAAGACATATCAGATATGAGTTCATAAATATAAGACAGCCAGTTATATAAATGTGATTGTATTTATAACCAACCGATATTTTGATAACTTTTCTTATTGTGTAATTTGTCAGATTGTATAAAGGTCAGATTTTTCATATATTATAAAAACAATTTCTTCTACAATTTTTGTTATATCAACCCTCATTTTGTAAACTGAAGTCTTGAGCAAATTTAAAAGATGCAAATTTTTCTTGAAAAAACTAATAATAGATTAGCAATGATAATATATATAAGCAAATTATTTTTTTATTCCAATTATTAAATTTTCAATTTAAAAGATCTAGAAATACTATGTGAATCTTTCCAGATTTATTTTAAAGATTTTTACACATTGAGAAATGTAATCCGATACAAAAAAAACTTTTGTTTAGGATCTATTAAAATATTTACGGAGTAAAGGTTAAAATATCATAATTTGTGCAAACTTAATGAGAATTAGTTATACTTTATAACAATATTACCATCTGAAGTTCGACTGAAAGGCATGCCACAATTTTCCAATTCAATGACTGCTTTTGGGGCTTCACGTGTCATGTAATGAATAGCATCCTGATCACCTAACCAGTCAGATCCCTTAACAGTATCATACATGTGCCATTGCCAATTATCATCCTCCATATTACCCAAAGCGGCATTAATACCTCCTTGAGCAGCAACAGTATGGGATCTTGTGGGAAATAATTTAGTAATGACCGCTGTCTTGAATCCTTCAGCAACCAAGCCATAAGCTGCACGCAATCCTGCTCCACCAGCACCCACAACAACAGCATCATAAGTATGATCTACCAATGGATAATGCTTGGAAACACCGTCTGAGACTTTTGCAGCCTTGCCATCTGGCGTATAATGCAATTTGCGATTTGTAATGACCGGTAATCCCAATTTGTTCTGAAATAACGTGAGCAGATGATAAAAAGATTGGTTAGAACAAACAGATATCACGTATGATAATTACACAAAATTATGGCTGAATCTTATATCTATATCTATAGTATCTGTGCAAAGTGCGTGTATATGTATGTGTACGTATGCACTTGTACGCATGTGAATATGTACGCATGCTTGTACGTATACATATATGTATATAGCATTACCATATTGCATTAATGCTCTATTTATAAAACACAAAATAGTTTTAGAAACTGAATTGGAAAAAGTGATACGACACACGCTATTTAAATCGTTACAAAACACGAATTAATTTAATAAATAATTCGATCGAATAGTTTAATACGTAAAATTTACTCGTGATTTTCAGTGACATTGCAACACCAATCTCGAATACTTTTCGTAGTAAAATTATATCTTGATAAGTTTATTCGAAGTCAATAATTTTTTTCAACAATTTAATTTAAAATTGTTAAAAAATAATAATAATAATTTACGTTACTAACAAAAAATAATTAAAAATTATATAATTAACTAAAATACGTGATTTTTAATGCCACGAATAAGGTTAATTATATTTTGTACTTTATCGAAAATAGAAAATAAGAAAAACAATTATGTTAATAGGCTATTATTTGCCGAACGTCATTGAAACGACTAAAAATTGATTATATACCGGAACACAATTGTCTCTTTTATCGAATTGAAAATATTTCACAGCGACATCATATAGAACTATTTTCCTTTCAGCATCATTCACCACGTGAAGCCTAAAGGAAATGATATGTGTTTGGTGACGAACTTCCTCTTTTTTTTTTCCCAAACTATGCTACGTTCAAATTTCAATCTTCCATGCCCAAACATATTAAGGTCACATTGAAAAAAAAAAAAGAAATATACAGTGATGAAATATGTATAACAATACCGTGATTTATAGTGTATCGCGAAACACGAACGAAAATCAACCGAGGCTGAGTGATTCTCCAAAATAATTTCATTGTATCGTAATTTTAAATAGAAATAATACAACAAAGAGACACAAACGTGTCAAAGCCGATAAATTCGAGGAGTGCCATTTCATAATTTAAAGAGTGTAATTTCGCGCTAATGCCAGCTTCCCGTACATCGGTGGTCCGTCCGCAATTATAATTAAACTTTTAAAGCATGATACAGCGGTTGCTTTCATTGTTCCTTCCACCGAACTCCACACTGACGTGAAGAATAAACAAACAATTGTCTCTTCGCCGAAGATAACGGAAATTAGAATCACCGTTACGCTACTTTGCAGCGAAAAATCATGATTATTGCAGCAAGCCGGCTGCTCCACGGGGTGGCGCGTACGAAACGAGAAGTGCGATAAAAAAAAAAAGAGGAAGACGGCGTTAGAATCGTCTGCTAAAGGTGATCACTGCTTCGGGATCTATTCGCATCACTATCGTTTCAACATTTATTTGTTCACAAATTTTTTTGGACATTCGCAAACGGGTGAGACATTCGGCAGTGAAAAATACCCTGTGTCGAGAATCGATACAGGTACACCGTCGGGACGTATTGCTAAACTTACGTAATTGATCGACGCCGAGTATTATGCAGCAAAGGTGCATCATTGTTAGATTAAAAATTACATAACTTTAACGAAAATTCGCTTACCAACGTCGTTGTCGGTGGATTCCTCGCCAATAAAGACGATAACTTTAACAGGCCACTCATCTTGCCGCAATGCGTTACCTGTTCGAGTGAAAATTTTTCGTCGTTAACAGTGACACGCGCACCACTTTGTTATATGTGCGACTCGGTCACACCGTGCAACTAACCCTAACAATTGTTAACTTCACTCCCGCACTTCTTGCACGGCGACGTGAAGTGTTCAAGTCGGTTGAGTACCGACTACTGGCGGAAGCTCCCTGATGAACACCAGTGCTGCCAATCCTATCGTCGCAAGATAACCTCACCTCCGAGGTGCTCGCCAATTTTCTATCCGGATTTCATTGTTCCTCGTTCGTGCGCCTCGATTGTTTCGACCATTATTGACGTATAATTGTTTTAAGGGCAGTTTATCGTCTTTCAACGTTTCGAAGTTAACGAGGAGAATAGCAGGCGAACCGTAGGCGGGAAAATTGAACGATAGCGCGGAAGAAACGAAGCGGTTCTCATTTCACTTTACGTACGATGGGGTGTTAACGGTATTTCGAATCGTGTAGTTGCACAGTAGTTGTACGGTAGGCCCTAAAGGGAAAATACTCGCGTACAACCTGCGTAACGCGTGTCGCGCGTTTATTTGTGTTGCAAACAACAAACGAAGCGAAGCGATTAGTCTAAACAATTCGAACGTAAGTTGAAAAATACCAATGAAAGTAGAAGAACTTTGATCGTGGAAAAAGCAGTTTATTTACATTTATATTAATTGTTATTTTTTGCTAAATCTCGACGTGATTTGAGTGAAACGTAATATGCGAGTTGATTTTTGACGTGCGTGTACATACATGTATTACGATTGTCTCGAAAAGAGGAAAAAAATTGTTTGTGCTTTGATTTCCATGGATGTATTAATCGTAAAAATTCTCACGTTCCACGAGAATTGTTAACACAGCTGCTAACGGTGCCTATGCTTAATCGAGCTTTATTTCCTGTAGCACGCGAAGAAATAAAAAAAGAAAACCGAGAGAGATTTGTCGTGCTTCAGGGTTGGCGGCACGGTGCATGTTCCGCTTCCCTATTGGTCGATTCTTGGTAGGCTCGTCTTCGTACATACACATAGGTAAGTCTTTTGTCGTACAGCAAAGTATCGCGTAGCCAGGTCGCTTAACTAAGCATGTAGTTGTTATTACGATAGCGAATAAAGTATTGGTAGGTGTAGGAGTATGTAATTTATGAAACAGATTAACTTGCACACACTTACGTACCTAACCAGCGCAAGTTCGAACGTAATACAGATGTAATTTTTTCTTCGTTTAGGTAGACCTATGTTTGTGTTTACATCCGTTAATATATTTTCGATAAGAATTTAATTTGTAAGTGACACGATATAAATTTATATAAATAGAAAATTATTATAAAGACATACGAAATAACAGTAAATAAATAATAAAGAGAAACACTGGAGACTCCCTTTTATATTATTTGATTTGATATTTTTGTGTCATAAATCGTATAATAAAATTATTTGATACGTTATCAATTAAACTTTTGCGTACAGATAAACCTTGTTCTTAATCAGATATAATTATTGTTTTCTAAATTATTAGAAAATATATATTCATGTATATTCTGAGCTTTTTATCTCAGAAGAAATAATATTTATTTATAATGTTTATTTTTTATTAATTTTCTCTCTCTTTTAAATAAACCATATACGATACAAATTTCTTCAAGTGTGGACAATTTATTTTATTGAATACTGTTTTTTTCTACGTACTAACTTTAATATTATGCAAAAGATACTGTATCTTTTTAAACTTTGTACTCCTTTTCCGTGTTACGAGTAAGTAAAGTAACAAAACAAAACCTACTAGTAAATACTCTTTATAAAATATATTTAAGATTTCTCAATTTTAAATTCTGGTTTATCAGTGTCGGATATAGAGCTCTTATCGAATATAAATAAGAAATTGAACGTGCATTGTGCACATGCGGTAATTTTCGAAAGAAAATATTTTTCTCTTTGAACATCAAATTTTACAGATTGATGCAAATAATTAACTTTCATTCGATCTCGCGAATATTAATGCAAAATTTACATACGATCAATTTCTCTTCGACGAAAATAATCGGAAGTAACAGGAGCAATTTTTAATCGTGTTACAATATTCGAAAGTGGTAAGACTCGCGAAAAATGGCTTTCACTTTGGAGGACGTGGTTCCTGGTCGTCAAGCGATATGATACGTCTATTGACTATGCAAAATAAGGTGACACACAGGTCCGCGCCTCCGGTCGGAGTTAATTAATTGCAATAACATCATTTTTCCACTCGGTGAACAAAAGCTGTTTAAAAGCCTATCTCAAATTAAAAAAAAAAAAAAAAAATAGAAAATAAAAGCAATCGTTCGTTGCTCTTGTAATTTCAAGATAACGAACGTAGCTCGCTGTTTGGATTGTCAATCATGCCAATATAGAGATGGCTGTAAGCCATCGATAATGTTAAAAGTATTAGTTAGGTTAATTTAAAAGAAAAGAAAAAAGAAACGGACAAAATGGATGAGAAATCAGACGGAACAGGAGAAAGTGAAGACTCCAATGGGATTTAATGATGGTGTTTAATATGTTCGAACCGATGGAGGAACATGTTGGGCTTCTGTTTCGTCCAGCGTCGTGTCGATGACGGGACGATAAGAAATGCTAATCTGCAAAGGTGCAAATGTTTCTGATATTTCAAACAGATAAAAAGAAAATAGTTTAAATACAATTACGATACAATTATATAATAATAAGTGCAAATTTATGTAGACACAGAATAGAAAGTTCGTTTTTGAAGAACGTTGCGTTTCGCCGTTTCGTTTCGTTGTTTCATCACTTTGTTAAATAATTCTGTTAAGCCTCCTGTGCCGCGTAATATATTGTTATCACTGATAATTTCTATCTGCTTATCTCGGAGCATAAATTATGATATCGTGTATCATTCGTCTTTTTGCTTCGAGTATCCACAAATTTTGCGTAAAAGATTTTTAAAGTTACAAAAGTAGTTGATTGTGAAAATCATCATTATTGCAATATTTTCACAAACTAATAGATGCGTGCTAAAGCAAGAGAAAATAGTTTTCTCTGTAGAAAAATTTCAATGAAGGAAAAGAGTTTCTGCTAATTAAAAGTTATTAAAATTTTCACTTTTGAAATGTCTGAACTTTACGACTTTAAATTAGTGACATTGAGTAACTATTGAAAAGATATACGAAACGGATGTGAAATATTCTTCAAATAGTCACAGACGATTCTGTGATTCAAAGATACAGTATATGTTTATGCAAATACCGACTTTTCGCATTCAATATCTTTTACGTCATCGCCTGAAACGATCGTTATACGTTTATCAATCGACTTACGTTTCCTCCTCGGTAATTATTCGACGAGGATTACTTAATTATTTTAATGAGGGTTTTTTGTTTCGGTATTATGTGTCGCACTAGTACAGAGAAGCTATTGTCAAAATCACCCGTTATTCCCGCGTAAAACGTAAATTGTAAAAATAATATTATTAGCGGGCAAAACAATTCTGTTGGAAAAAGATATACAAAAGCATAATGTGCCGTTAAATAATTGATAAGGAAAAATAGATAATTGCGATAACTCACCGATCCATCTGGTCGAGCCCAGGTGAGCGTGTGTTTGCGCCAATGTTCAGTAATTGATCGTTTCTTTTGACCTTCGAGCGGTTTCGAGTAGTCGTATTCATCGATTCGTTCCTGCAAGTATAATTTTTTTTTTGTGTGTGTTTCATTGTTCAATGAATGTTGCGCATCAGATTATAAAAATTGTCAATACTTTGAAATCTTCCCGGACGTGAGACCCTCGGGACTCTTTCCTGTTCTCGGCCGCGTAAACGGTGTGCATGCAAGCTAACATCATGTTTTGCAACTCTATTGCCTCCACCAGTTCTGTGTTCCATATCAGAGTCTGGTCTTGAACCTAGATAATAATAAAGATCCAAGTTTGCTTGAAAATTTAGATTTTTGGCAACATTTCTTAATTTATTCCTAATTTCGTGGTAATTGTAATACACAATGTGGCGATCTATTCCTAGCTTTTGCATCATCATATCAAATGTAAATAAATTCGTCACTTCGCGTTTTCATTATAGTCAGGCTATGTTTGCGTAACATTTTTTTTTTTTCTGTTTTCCTTTTATTCATGCCGGCACCGTTTGATTTGAGTGAAAAAGAAAAGAACTCGTGATCGTATGCCAATTAACAATTATATAATCGCGACAGCGCGAGGAAGATTAAATGTCGAGGAGGCTTGAGACATCGGAACACCATCTTACGTAAATGGAATATTTCGATCAATTCACCTACACATATGTCCGGCAAGTCGCAGGTATAGAGCCGCGTTATCTCGCGGCATCCTCGTTGCAGCACGTCGCAGGTTCTGAACACCGAGCAAAATCTCTGCATAGTCTGCTGCATCTCCTCTCGCAGCTCGGCGACGGGAATACAACCTTTTGCATAACGAGTTGCGTCGAAACGGCAAATAGAATCTTCGCCAACAGTCTGCACGCAAACGCGAGTACAGCGGTACAATGAATATAGTTGCGGGCGAAAAAATAGCAATAGTAACAATACGCAGTATCGTTGCGTTCGATTGTGCAACACGTGTCGAACGTTAATTTGGCTCCAGTTCTTTTGCTATTGAAACCGATCCAGTTTCTGTCATAGAATGACGACGAACAAGAGTCGATTGAAGCCAAAATGTTCTTTGAATGTCTGCAAAAGTACATGCTTGCTTTGTCCTTCGATTGCACGAGAAATGTGCAATGGTATTCCTCCGAAAGAACGTCCGGAGGAACGCAATTACGGCCAGAGCTCGTCAAGCATTCCGTGTCACGCGTTGCTCCAAAGCAAGTTTGCAATGCATCGAGAGTTCGTAAATCTTACGGCTGGTAGGTCCTCGTGACGTTCGCCAGGTCTGGTCATGCAATCGATTTGATCAGCGATCGCCTTGCCGAAAACCAACAGCTCCAGAAGACTGTTGGCGCCTAAACGATTGGCGCCATGGAGGGACATGCACGCGGTTTCACCCACTGCCCAGAGTCCTTCGATCACGCTGTCTTCCTCGTTTTCTCGCGTCAGTACCTTGCAGACAGTATTACTAAAGTAAGTGACTCGCACTTGCAGGGTAAAAAGGAAAGATTATTCGTGGCTATTATAGATGAATTTTACACCTTCGATTTGTAAAGAACCTGCCACAAAATTGATCTTGACCATTTCAAGGTCAAAAACTTTTTTTCTGGCATTATACTCGTCACAGAGGTAAAACTTTTCCAAGGAACCTAATAGTTCTCTTGAAGAGTGGCAAAAAAGTTTTTTAATCATTTAACATTGTGGATTAACGTGTGCGTGCTAACAGCGACTTTGTAGTTCTTAAATTAGGTACTTAAATTCTACTTAAATTAAATAGTTCTACTTAAATTCTACTTAAATTAGGTTTCATTAACATTTGACTTATCATAGTTGTAGCATCAGTGTGAGTCTAAATAATCAAATAATAAAACTAACTGTTAACATTGTGTGAAATATAAACTACATCCACGCGTCCAGAACTGTAAAGTCGTTGTTAGAACGTATGCGTCCGCAGTGTTAAATGATCAAGAAACTTTTTTGCTATTTTTCAAGAGAACTATTAGGTTGTGACCTACGGTTACCTTCGTAATAAGCCAGAATACAATGCAAGAAAAAAAAATTTTTGACCTGTTCCACCCTGTACATAATAAACGCTACAGCCAGAACCATAAAGTCGCTGTTAGAACGCACGCGTTCTTCGCCGATTAAGAAACTTCTTTGCCATTTTTCAACTATTAGGTTTCTTGGAAAAGTTTTACCTTCGTGATCAGTAGAATACAAGAAAAGGAACTTTTCGACCATAAAATTCAAGGTCAAGATCAATTTCTTTGACAGGTTCTTTGCATGTATTTCCACCAAATCGAAGATGTGGAACTCATCTATGATAGCCACGGACAAATCCACGATTAGGCTCACCTGAGCTCGCCAGTTCGTGGGTATACCACCCATATTGTAGTGCATCGTGGGTATGACAGGTATCGGTTCCTTTTTTACATTCACGCCAGCGAAAACCCAGGCCAGGTGCGAAATTCCTGGTAGTTTTGTGCGTAGAGTTTCTACTGGCAGATGATGTAATTGCAGGTACACGTGATCTTTCTTGCGACCTACGCCTCTGGATAAATTAACAACGGGATGAGTATTGAGTGGAAGTCGAAAGGGTATACTAATTGCTTTGTTCTAAGAAGATCTTTTTCGCGCGTTCAGCTTGCGAACTGGATCAATACTCGTATTTGCAGGCACTCTTTTTTTTGTAGAGAAAATTGTGTGTTTTCAAGAATTTTTAGATAGTAGTAGTCGAGATGTTTCGTTTTATTTCATCGGGATTAATATTTAAACATGCTTCGCGTCGTAACGAGATGTTGTTGTGATTTCTTTCATTTTGACGCGGCATCTGACGCGTTATCGCGCCGACTTTCGCGTGTAACAAGTATAAACAGCGTTACAATATATTCTATCAAGGAAACTAAGGGTTATCTCAAAGATTAAAAATTGCTTGCGAATTTACGACGTGATGAAATTTTTAGCGCCTTTGATAAAAACTCGTTAAATCAGAATAAGTTTATAGCAAAACTGTCAGTGTCCCTTTCACTTAAGTTTCACTCAAGTTACTATATTATATAATGAATCATCGTTCAAATTCTTTTGCGCGTTGTGTGTATAACTCTACCTCGCACTATCATAAAAATTCCAAGTTAATTATTATTCCAAGCAATTCACGACAGATGTTTCGTTAAAGCTTGTACTGGTAATAAATAACATTTCGCTCTAATAAGCGAAGTTATTTCAAACAATTTTATCTACGATATATAGACTATCATGATCCATAATGTATATGTGAAAAATGTTGAATTCTAGTCGTGGAATGATTCTGACAGGGGTATGCTTCACCTTCCTTCGAATATTTCAATCGTTATTGCTTTGGAGACGACGTCACGGGACGCGAGGTCCTTGGCAACTGGTGCGTATCGTTCCATGAAGAATTCTCCTTTGGAATTCACCAGCCTGCCGCCTTCGCCACGGCTGCCCTCTGTTATCAAAATGCCGCTGCCGTACATTCCTAGCGGAAAAATCGACTGGTTAAACGTGGAAAGCATTTGCCCGCGCGGACCCCGTTTTCGTTTTCCTTTTTTGCCGCGCGAATACCGGTCGGATGGAACTGGATGAACTCCATATCTTCAAGGGGCAGTCCTGCTCTGGAGGCTATCGCCATACCATCTCCGGTGCAAGCGTGCGCCGAGGTACAAGATAGGAAACATCTTCCTGCTCCCCCCGTGGCCAATACCTGTCAGAAAAAAGCCAGCTTCATTCATTGACTTGGTCGATTCGATGCTGTTTAACCCCTTGCCCTGGCAACTGGTTCGCCGACCATAACGAGTGACCGAGTCGTATGTACAATAATTCGTCGCTCTCTTTCCCTTTTAAACTCGTCGGGATAGAAATTTGTTAAGAAGTATATAAACCTATCATTTGCTTTGCCTCGGTTACATTTAAATGTACTTGAAACTGAGAAAATGTTGCAATTTGGGACAAAAAATTCCCGACGTGGCACGTCATTCTAGCGTAACGTCCAGTTTCCACGGGGGATTACGCGGTAATGTGACAAGGTATATCTGGAATTTTTCGAATCGCGAAACGTGAAGAAATATTGCGATGAAATATGATAATACAGTTTCGGTAATCGATAAATATTACCACGGATTTTTGCATGCAATGCAAATTTGAAAAATCAAAGAAAGGAATCTCGACTTATCGAATGAAATGAAAAGCACCATGGCTTGGATACACGTTTTACATATTTCTTCACATCACGTGCACTTTGCGCAATTTTGCACGTTTCAATTTCTTACGAGCTTGCATAAAAAGCCGCGAGTCTAGTAATTGCAAGGTCCTTTCTTACGTTAGTCAGACGATACATAGTCCAGAGGTGATACGTACTAAAGAAAAAAAAAAAATAAATAAATAAATAAATAAATACAACATCATCTTCGAAACGAAGTTCAAACGACAAAGATAATGAAAAGAACGTAGAGAAATGTCGAGAGATTGCAACGAAACATTGAAAGTATACCGTTGCGCAACGAATCAAAGGTCAATGTTCGCCGTTACGTAACGAGTCAAAGGTCAAGGTTTACCGTTGTGCAAAAGAAAGGATCAACGTTTACCGTGTGATGAGCTCTGAAGCGATGCAGAAGTCCAGTCTCCAGCTCCCATGCCAACACGCCCTTGCAACACCGTCCGTACATGAGAAGATCAAGGGCAAAGTACTCGACGTAATAATGGACGTCGTAACGGAGGCTCTGCCCGTATAGTGTGTGCAATATCGCGTGACCGGTTCTATCCGCGACGGCACAAGTTCTACGAGCCACGCCGCCTTTGCCAAACTTCAACGATTGTCCGCCAAATGAGCGTTGATAGATTTTTCCTTCCTCCGTGCGGCTGAAAGGACAACCTGCGAATCCCGTAAATCTTTCGGTTAACTTTCCGCTTAACTCTTTGGGGTTAAATGGGTTTAAAATTGTCCCACATTTTTTCTTTTTTTGACAGTTGACCACTTGCGCTGGCCAACTGATTGCGGACCATAACAAGCGACCACACCGTATACAATAATTCGTCGCTTTCTTTTTGAACTCATCGGTATGATATCATATGGATAGAAATTTATCGAGATAAATTTATTATCTGTTTTGCCTGGGTTATACTTAGAACTGAGAAAATATTGCAGTTTTGGGACAAAAAGTTCTCGACGTGCGTGAGGCAAGAGGTTGATGCATGGTGGGATATTTTTTAACCCATCTAACAAAATTGAAATTAGTAGTACTACAATGTTAGTTGCATGGTGGGATTATTTATGCCCCACTCTGTAATAAAGAATTTATTTAAATGCTAATACTTTTTTTTTTCATTTAAAGAAATATTTTGTGTTTAATAATTGAAATAAACGGTTCCTTTTCCTTTTTTTTTATATTAAAAAAAATTCCGTGCAGGTAGAGTTTCTTTTTCTTTAAAATTGCGTGTTCCTAAAGGCTAAATCGTGATAGCATAGTCTAGGAATATGATGGCGAACCTATGACCTACGACTTGTCAGACACTGACCCACGCAGGCTTTTTAAATGACCCACGCGTTGAGTTTTATAAACTTATCATCATATATATAAAAGAATTTTAATTATTTTTCGAACCCCCCTTTTCAAAAAATGTTAAGAAAATTACAAGTGTTTGGTTAGAGCTTAAACGTGAGAAATAAATGCATTATTGTGTTTTATGTAGAATTTACGACTTGGTTATGTATACATATAGGTATTTTAAGTCTTAAATGTTATATGAGTTACTTGTGTCTAAAAAATTTTATATAGTGCTTACGATTAAACAGATGTAATAAACACTAAAGAACACACTAGATCCCATTCTCAGAATGGGTAGCTTTGCTAGTTTTTTATATAATAAAAGAGAAAACAGACAATAAAAAATATTAAGAAATAAAGTATATATATCTAATGTATAGTGCAGAGGTGACTGGGCATGATGTCACCCTTTTAATATCAATTTTTTGACGTCGACATTTATTTTTTGCTCTTCACTTGCAAAAGTAAAAGTTGTAAAACAAAAAGGAAGTGTAAACTTTTTGGAGGATCATAAAAGTGAGAACCAAAAAAAGGTAGTTTTTAACCATCCTCTCCTTTCCAAGTGACGCCACTTAGTGATCCACGAGCTAGTACTAAAAAAAAAATAATGAACAAAATTTGACCTACTTCTCAAAAAGGTTCGCTGTCACTGGTCTAGGATTTGATTTATTGCAGAATATTTGGGAATATCTTTCCATCTTTTTGTTACATGTTCTCATTAATAGCTGTTAATACAATCGTTCGTTGGAACGATGCAGTGATTGTCTAATCGCTGGAAAATGACATGTGGTACCATTAAAACACGATTAGAGCCACGCGCAGTATTATTAACTTAATTGTGTAACTCAGATAAAAAAAAAACGCATTTCGTGTAAGCTTCGAACAAATTCTTAATAATAACTTTGGACAAACGTATCGCCTCGAAATACTGAAAATCTTCGTAGGAATTTGCGTTTCCACAGTAGTTTCAATATTCGCGACTCAACGACCGATTGAAAAATTGGAATCTTCAGTTGCGTTAGTTTTTGTTCCTTTCGTTTTCTCTGCTTCGTTTCAAAGTCAGAGTGAATTTGGTATATTTGGTTTGGTTGAAACAATTTACCGTAATTCTCGAGTTCGAAAACTGCTCGAGGTGCCTCCCTCGTCAGAAAATGTATCGCGTCTTGATCACCTAGCCAGTCGGATCCTTTGACGGTGTCGTACATATGATAAAGCCAACTATCTTCCTTCTCATCGATGGCGGCGTTCACTCCACCTTGAGCGGCGACAGTGTGAGACCTTGTCGGGAACAATTTCGTAACCACCGCCACGCGGTATCCTTTGCTTCCTGCTCAACAGGAAAAACAGGGAAAAAACGAAGAAGAGAGAGAAACATTGATAGAAAAGATGCGATAGAACAAACGTGCGATAGAAAACTAACAGAAAATTAGAAACAATAGAGAATAATAGAAAATAATAGAAAATTTCGAAACAAAAATAACAATCTTCTGAGATTGAATAGATAGCCGACATTATTTCAATTTGATCAAAATTTACTTCTCGACGGAAGTTTATCCAGAGTTTGCGAGATTTATTTGTAAGAAAAATTACCTAAACCAAAAGCAGCTCTCAGTCCTGCACCACCGGCCCCCACGATCACAACGTCGTAACAGTGATCTATCATGGGATAATCCTGCAAGCGACGTTTAAAACTTTACGAGTGGTTCTACGAAAGAATTATTTTATTCGAAAGTTTTATTCTTTACGGTATCATTTTCCGTCCCGCATTTCGCTTTTTCACCGGGGCTGACGTTTACGTGAAAACATCGCCTGTTCTTCTTGCTCAGGCGTTGGCATCGCGAAGTGAATCGCTGTGAAAAATGCGAGACATAGAGATCAGGTGACCCCGGGAGATCAGTTTAACTAGGAATCGCTACTGCTTACGAAAAATCGTGGCAAACGGTTCACGGATCGCAACATTATTTCTCGAAGTTCGCGCGCAGCATGCGAGTACAATTACGCGTGAACAGGCTGCTGTTTGTTTGCTCGTCATTTGATAAAAGAAGCAACAAAATCACGAACCTGTTTTCAGAGTGAAGAAAGAGTCGTTGTAAAAAAGGCACACGGGCACGCTTGTAGTTTGTACAAGCATAACTTTATTGCACTTGCAAAAATACAGTTCGAAACATAGACAATTTATTGTTGTATCATTGTAGGGCGATTAGCCTGGTTTGGGTTAGGTCTCGGCTAACTCGGTTCTTTCATATGTTCTTCTATTTTACTTTCGATTACTCTTTGAACACCAGAGCGTGGACGATAACGGCGAATCTCGTTCAATAGGATGTCAACGCTATTTCGGAGCGATTTGTAACGACTAGTTTTGCATACTGTTTCCTTTTCTTTTCGTTTCTTTTAATGAAAAAGTATTTGCACGTGCGTTTCGCTATTCACCCGCAATTTATTAATCTTAGTAACGATTAATCGTTAGTTATTTGAGCGCAATGTTGTACCAGCAGTTCGCCTATTACTAGCAAAATATTCTTAAACTTACGCTACGATGTACGTTACACACACATGTAAAATATATATATTATTCGAATGAACGTGCGATCGAGCCGTATCTCCGCTCGTTTTTGCACGCTTATATATATAATATAAAAAATCTTGGTAAAAACAGTTCCTTGTAGGAGGTAAATGGCGAAAAGAAAGAAGACGGGATTTGAATGCGTTGCTCATTTACACGTAAAGTTAAAGTTAAGTAAAGTAAAAACGATTAATAGGTATCAATTGTATCAAATAATATGAACAAGATAATCCAGAGTACAAAGAACAGAGTACACAATTTTTAGTACACACTATAAAAAAAGTCCTGTCGAACGTACTTACGAAATTCAACAAAATGCAAATGCAAAGTTTCCCATATACGACGATACGCGTGTATTTGTCATATTAATTGGATTTGTATCAAATTTATCCGTGTTTATCGGTTTTTTCGATGTTTGAACTTTCATTGTTCGTCTCACCGAATAGAACAAATTTGACTTTTCGCAGGATTACAGGACGTCGAACCTAAGCTAATTTCAAATCCAACTCTCATACTAATGGCAAGTTTAACGAAAATGCAATCATCATTCATCAACTCTGCTACTATTTATTCGGTTCTATTCTCTCTCTCTCTCTCTCTCTCTCTCTCTCGTGTATTTACTAATACTGGAGAATTTAACCCTTCTGAATTTCTTTCTTTCAAATTTCACAATGACTGAAAACCAGTGACTAGAGAGCACACAAATAGAGCACGCAGTTTCTAACTCTGAACTGCAAAAATAAAAGATCTTCGTTTCCCTAACGTGTTACTATTAGCTCGACGAATATATTTAAAATAACTTCTCTCTTTTTTCAATTCCATAGTGCCTCATTCGATGTGTCATTCGTGCTTCAAACACCTGCTTACGTACGTTCCTCTGCAATTTTTTGCATTCTTTTTTCGTCTTCGTTTCGTTGTTAAAAAAAAGAGAAAAAAATACTCGCGCGTTCGGCCCAAAAAGTTAATTTGCTCGCGAACTCGTTCATCGACGATCGATCAGGTGAGAGGTGCTCAGAGCACGAGCCTCCTGATGCCGCACTCGCAACAAAATTTGGCAGTTTCCGGGAACTTGAAGCCGCACCGGTGACAGTATTTGGACATTTTGCACTTGCTCGCGACTCCGTCGCCGTGCTGACGATTGCTCCTCGACAGATCCTCCAGGTCGTAGCCACGTCCCGCCACGTCGTTGGTGCGTCCGTGGTGCGAATATTTGCGATTTAAACTAGGAGGAAGAAATCGAACAGGATCTTTAGACACGCGGGACACACTGCGACGAATTGATCGAAATTTTAGACTGCGCAAGTTTATGCGTTTTTCCTTTTTTTTTTTTTTTTCTTTCTTTCGCAAATTTTGGATACACATTTCTCAGAGTTCATTTAAACGATGGATACGCGGATATTTTTCACAAAAGTACAGATTTGCATAAACTTCTGCAGTCTGTTAATTAACACTTCACTTACCGGCCAAATCTTCCCACTTACGAGGTACATACTGAAGTATATATAAATCACAAATCGATTTTGATGAAATTTGGTATAAATGTAGTTCTCGAAGAAGTAATTGGATATTTTTTTTTTATCAATGAATTGATAATTTGTCAAATATTATTGGAAATTATTAAAGGTATCGTTTTTTGCGTAAATTGGTGAAATTTTTGTTTCTTTAACTTTTCAATTCAATGATATACACCATTTTGCAAAAAAATGTCAGTGGAGTGACAAACACGCTTGGACTGTCGTGCAACAATGCACGTATATACAGATTTGAATAATTAAAAAGAAATTAATTTGTAAGATAATTATTGTGAATTAATTATTTCAATTTAATTATTAAATTTAATTATAATTATTAAAAATTACTGTAGAATATTTAATTTAATTATAATCAAATATTTGTAAAATTGTAAAATGAAAATTTACTCTTTTTACACTTCCAAATGTAACAAACTAAAAAATTCTTCCTCACTGTCTTCCAGGACAGACAAACTAACGGAGGAATGCTGACAAATCGTCTAAACGAAGGCTTTCATTTCCATCGCTCTGATTCATTGTAGAAGGGATTCGTCATTTCAAAATATTTGAAGAGTACGAACACAATCGATACATACATTATTAATTCAATTGATAAACATTGGTATACTCGGACTCCAGTCGATAACTAACACTCGACTGTGCCGGCCGGCAAAGTGTTAATGACACTCGCAATTAATCCCGGTAATTATACGTATTAACATATTATACCTGCTGTATGCGGAGTCAGCGCTCATTTTGTTGTGATCCTGTCGTTTGTAGCTGTCGGGCGAAGAGAGTTCCTCGTCGCTGACCTGGCCGTTGCGTTGTGCTGCGCCGTGGACGGGGCTGGACACGGACAAGGAATCGGTTTTTAGGAAGGACTTCAACGAGGGGAAAGGGCCGTTCTCGTTCTCGAACGTGGTCATCAGCTCGTCGAACACCGAGTTCGAACGTTTGATGTCCACGTCCGAGGATATTATCGAGCTTAGGCTCAAGTTGCTGCTCGAGAGGTTCGCGTAGTTGTTGTTCAGGCTTTTGTTCGACGACCTGCGAGCGTCGTTGCCCTTGCGGAACGCGAATCTTTTCTCGTGAGGGTTTTCGTTCGAGTTGTCGGTCGTCCGGTCGGGCGTTGTTTTCGGGGCGGAGGATGCGCGAACCGAGAGGGAACGGCTAACGGAAGGCCGGACGACCTTTGGCGAGACTTTGTCGAGAATCCTGCGGGCTCTCTCCGTGCTGGCGACGAAGCTTCTGCTACCGCGGCTCCCGTCCTCGATCACATCCCCGCCCAAGGCCTTCGACTTGTCGATGATCACCCGTCTACCCAGCTCTCTCGCCGGAGACTTTTTCTCTTTGGCGATCGAGTCTTTCAACTCGCCGTTCCCTTTCAGATCTTTGAGGAAAACCTCGCGGGACAACGAATTCGTCTCGGTGGAGTCGCTCGAGAAGTCCGACGTGAGGTCGTCGAATTCCGTGGGTGGGGCGATCAAGGACGATCGTTTCTCAGGATTCGCGAGCGGCGGCTGGCAGGGATATTTGACGAACGCCGAGGAGTGAGAGAGAGGGAAAGAAGAGGAATCGCGGCTTTGATCGACGATCGACGCCGGACCGTCCGTCACCGATTGCTCGCTGGTGTCCGACAGCAGGTCGTTCATCTGTTGTTCCGCTAGCAAGAAAGGATCGTAGTCCTTGCCGCTGAAAATGTTATTAACACACGTTGTTTTTTAATTACGCGTAGAGAAAATGACCGATATATAGCTCAAGAGGAATCGTCTTACGTACTAAGAACATCAAGATATGCAGTGCAGACAAGATTCTTATCTTATAGAGAATATAGTTGCAAACAAATTTAACCCTTTGCAATTAAATCTAGCCAACGGTTGGCACTTTCTCTTTCTGTAATTTGCTGATGATTATAACGAACGTATGATTCGATGTGTACAGTAGTATAATATCTGAATAACCTAGAGTGAAAGTTACAACAACGACGTGAGAAGAACAAAAGAATTTCAGAAAGAAGAAACTATTGAAGTCAATTGGCACTCGACAATTTACACAATTCTAGACTTTTTATTGCTTCTGACGAAAGTTTAGAAAACGATGAAGGATGTTATTTTTCCAGAGATTGAAACTATGTCAATACCATCAACTCTTGTATGTCGTACTTGCTTTAAATTTATCGCATGTTAGAAGGATATAATCAACAAAATTTCGTGTTAAATACCAATTTATTATTATACTATTTATAGTTTAAAGTAATGAAAATTAATTTTTTAAAAATAAATAAGTAAAATTTATTTTGTACTTTTTTTTATCAGGATTAATTAATTTATTTTAATAATTTTAGTTACGTCAAAAGTAAATGATCTAAATAATAATTTTAGTTATCTCAAAAGTAAATGATCTAAATATATATATATAATATTTTTATAAAATAAAAAAAATAAATATATATTTAGAAATTAAATGTTTGCCGTATTCGTTAATATCTAGTTTTTTTAAAATAAATTTAATTTAATAATATATGAATGATTATTCCCAATGCCGTGTCATTTTACTTCAAGCGATGATGTTTCGTAAATAAATTGTTGGTAAATGATACAAGAAAAGTTTGTCGAGGGCAAAGGGTTAAAGTGGTTGCTTCAAGTGTAGTGAACGTGCCACGACAGAAACGAATCAGCGACGAACGAAAATCTCATGGAGAAACCTCGTCGTCTCTTTTGTTTCATGCTCGGATCGATCCGCGGTACGTCGAATTTGTCTAGAGTTCCTAGTCTAGGGAAGCGATCGACGGACGACGGAAAAGATCGATATAATGCGCCTGTGAAACGACAATGATATGTACACCGATAGTCGAGCATCGGGGAAGAAGCCTTTCAGCTCGGGGCAAACATGCAAAGCATGTTCTCCAACCAGTTTCCAAAGCAAATCTTTGTACAACGTGATGGACAAAGTCAGACTGTGTGATCGTTACGCATGCGATAATGCGATATGTACAATTTATATGATAAAGAGCGTGCCACGATTAAATTTGATGATACCGATTGATTAAACTGGCGTCGATTAAATCGAGGTCGTTCGAAAAAAAGAGGAAAATAAATAAATAAAAGTCGAGCCCCTCGTGGATCGAGTTCCACGATAAAGTCGCAATAAAGTTCAATGACAAAACTCGAGACGACTCTCCAAGACGAGAGAAATGAGAAAAATCAGTGTTTGAATCATCCTGCTGGGACTTACGTTCTACCGCTAAGCACGAGATTAAAATCCGGTCTTCTGCGCACGTAATTGCTCCATACGGGACGTAATGGCAGTTTTATATCCCTACAATATCGTGTAATACGTGTGTTACGAGACTTAGGTGTACAATGGCGAGACCGCGATGCTCTCATTTCGATCCTTTTTCTCTCTCTCTCTCTCTCTCTCTCGAAAGAGAATTGAATATACTCAGTTTTCAATTAGAAATGACAACATCGATTCCGAACATTTTTACAGAGATAGAGAGAGAGAAATTGACCGCGTTCAATGTCAGATATTCTGAAAAAAACGATCTAACAATCCTGCTCCTACCTGTGATTCGTCAAGGAGGAGTTACTGGGAACGGGTGGAAGGATACGAAATTTCGGGTTCCTCTTAAGAAACCTGCTCGCCCCCTGACACGGTGGATCGAGATTGATCAACCGATTCCTCGAGGCTCTCGTCGCCTTCTCCCAATACGTTTGTTCGCCGATTTCCTCGCCGTCGTCGCGGCTATTTCTCATCGTCACCCGGCCCTTGATCTCCGGTAATATTCTGAACCTGATGCTTCTGTTCCTGGTGCCGATCTCCTCGATCGTCTCCACCTCGACGGACTCGACTTGCTCGACGGAGGACGCCAGACTGTCGCTGCTCTCGTTCAACGCGCTCATGTTCTCGCGAATTCGATTTTCTATCTCGACGATCCGCGAACGACGCGATCTCAACGCTGCGGATCGATTCGTCGACGAGTCGTCCAGACGAACCCGTTGGCACAGCTTGAAGCACGACTCTGACAGGACTATCGATCGTAACCTGCGCTGATTCTGCTTGGCCGCTTCGTCGCCCCTGTTTGACGAAGATTTCAAGCGGTTTGCATCGTCCTGCGCGTGACACTCCACGCTGTTGTCGCTGTCGCAATCGAAACCATCGGCCGGGTAATTTTTGTAAATTTCTCGCACCTCTTCGTCTCTCTTCGCCATTACGTTCGAATCGTTATTGTCTTTGACAATGGTACATCCTCTCTTGCAATCATTTCTTCCCAGGTTTGCGTTCAGCTGACTCGCTGACGATTCAGTCACGTTGCCGTTGAAGTTACCTTCGTCAAAGTTCGTTTCACCTAGAGCTTCCGAGGACTTCTCCGCAACGTAGAGTTCACCGATTTCAACGTTCGAACAACACGTAACGCAAACCGGCGTTTTAGAGCGTTCCCAAGTGTTCCCAGAGACATCGGCGCGTTTGACATTCGAGGAAAATTTCAGCGGACAGTTACAAATATTTATTTGACTGGCAATTTCTTTCCTCTGTGTTTCTGGAAGTGTTGCTCGCATCTCCGACGAGCTCTCATCTCTTCTCTTCGACAAAGAGGACGAAGCGTCTCTCGGCGAAGCTTCTCTTCCCGTTTGTTCCATCGGAGATGAAATCCTTGGCAGAATTTCACATTCGTCGCGTCTATTACCGTTGGAAGAAGCAATCTCAAAATTAGCAATCCCCTCGAACTTGTCCATCGCACCACGTGACGAACGTCTTGTCGTGTCTAAACAATGTGAATCGCTGCTTTCCACGCGATACAGCATCTCAGATCCTGTCCGCGCGTCGATCTTCTCCTTCCAATCGTGATCTCCTGGCAACGGCTGCAACTCTTTCGTCAAATTCTCGTCTTCCTCGCACTTGCTTCCCCAGGAACAATTCTCAATGTTGACGAACGGCGTGCTCGATCGAGTCGGTTGTAACATCGTGTCTGCATCGAACGGATCAGTCTCCATTTCGATCCAATTGGAATCTGAATTTCCGAGATTATAAAACGCGTCGTTCCTGTCATTCCCACTTTTCACAAAGTGTTCGTCTCTCAACGATCGGATTGAATTTTCCCGGCTGATATTTAGCTCGTCGGCGTCTTTCTCGGCAGCTTTCACTCGTTCGTGCGAGTCAGTGTTTGGTTCATCGTTCGCTTCTTCCATGTTGCTGTCAGTAATTTCGTTCGTTCTCTTTTGAGATTTATTCCCATCTAAATTAGAAAACTCGTCGAAACGTGGAAGTTGCTTGTTAGGGGACGAAGATGGGAGATTTCCTGTCGCGTCGATGCTTCCACTTGCATTCACAGTTTGAAAATCTTCGCGCAGACTCCTCGGCGAGTTCCGCGCGATTTCGAAATCACTGTGAGAATTGATCGCGCTCAGTCGTTTTTTCTCAAAAATTCGACTTCTCGTCGACTGAAAACTTCCCGAGAGCGACTTTACGCGCGAGCTCGCGAAACGGGAATTTTCTTCTCCGCGAAATCGCGCGGCGTCGTTCGTTTCGAAGCTGTCCCCTTTCAAACTCCCGCGACAGTTTTTACCAATGGCTTTTCCAGAAAGAACGGAATTAACCAAAGAGGCTTTATCCGAATCTCCGAAACAGAATTCCACGCGCGGACTGTGCCTCACCGGCTTCCATTTTTTCTTCCTCGCGTGCCGAGCATGCAGATCGTCGATTTTGTCGCTCCTTGTCGTCGAGTCCTTGATAAACGAGTACGTTTCGTTCAACGTTGCCGGCACGGTTGTACCTTCGCTTCCTCTCTCCTCTTTCGAATCAACGTTCAACACGAATTCAACGCTTTCTTTCGGGCTCTTCTTCGCTTGGTCTGCCTCCATCAGCTGTTTCCACGTTACCAACTGACTCTCTCTGCGTATGCTGCATGGCTTCACAGTGACGCCCACGATGTCGTCGTTGATCGAGACGTCGTTGAGCCTTGGGTTCCCTTGGCTTCTAGCCGAAACGATGTTTGCCTTGAACGATCGGGCAGAATGTAGCATCGGCTGATGCGTTCTTTCGTCCTCCTGTTTCACTCTCACCGGCGTCCTCCTCGGCTGTCTCTTGCTTGATCTCGGCGTGGCGACGCTGTTGCACTCGTCGACGTGCGTTTCTTTCTTACGTTTTAAGGGCGGGAAAAGGGCGGGAGAGGTTGTTTTAACGGGAGGAGCGGGTCGAGAGGTAGCCGGTCCGGCGGTCTCGTCTTCCAGCAGCCTGAGGATGAGGAAATTGGATCAAGGATGCGTGCCTGACATCAGGAGAAGGTCATCAGGCTTTCGGACACGTCCGGATGCGTACGACTAATCGCTCAAATGTTTCCGGTAAACGAACAACCTTGTCCCTTTTCCTTCTCCTCATGCACGTTACTACTAAACGCGTATTTCAACTAGTTTGTTGTTTAGCTCCGCGTACGAGTGCCCTAACGATAAGACACGCTGGCGACGATTACGGGTGACAGGTACACTCGGAGGCAACGTACCTGTTTATACGATCCGCTGTTTGCGACTTCGTCGGGACCGTGGGACTGGACGACTCCTTCGTTTGACTGGGACGTCTCCTGTAATTGAGAAACTTTTAGTCTCGTTGTTGGTGTAACACGTTGCTTGAAAATTTGATTTCGTTAGAAAGGGCGAAGTTTTCCTACAGGTTCGAGTCTGTTTTTACATAATATAAATTATTTACACTATAATATTGTATTATATTATATTTATATTATAATATTATGTTATATTATATTTATAATATTATAATATTATGTTACATTATATTTATAATATTATAATATTATGTTACATTATATTTATAATATTATAATATTATGTTACGTTATATTTATAATATTATAATATTATGTTACATTATATTTATAATATTATAATATTATGTTACGTTATATTTATAATATTATAATATTATGTTACATTATATTTATAATATTATAATATTATGTTACGTTATATTTATAATATTATAATATTATGTTACATTATATTTATATCATAATATTATATTATATTATATTTATATTATAAATAATATATAAATAATGCATAAATCATAAATTGTAACACTACGCGGTACTTTTTATAGCATCAGCAGTCAGTTAAAGCGATACTTAATTCAAATTAGTTAGAATCAGTCTTAAACAGTCGACCTTAGCTAAAGGTATATCATTTGATATACACAGTAAGCGAACAAATTTGTTTTTTTACCGCACTATTCAGATTTATGCACCTTACGTCGTAATTTTGGCCATTAAGAAACGTTCGACAACGGCAAGAGAGAGAAAAAAAAATCTACCTACCAAAGTATATCTTTGGATATAAAAATGAACACTGTTTACTTCGCTGTACTTCGACTCGCTTCTGCCCCTGGACAAGAACAACTTACACGACCGTCGATCTGTTGGCCTGTTTAACAGGGCTGTCGTTGCTCCTGTTGCAGCTCGGCGCCGATACGCTCTCCTTGGCCTTGTTAGCTCGCAGCGTCGTCGGCGACGTTTTGCTGCCGGAAGTCAGAGCGGCTGCCGAGCCCGGCGAGTACTTCACGCGGGTCGCTTGCCGACGACTCTTCACCGCTGGCGCCCGATACTTCATCCGCGCTTCGAGGCGCTCCTTCGCGATGTTCGTCGCGGTGCTGACCGGCACACGGTTGATCCTTTCTTTGCACCAGGCCACGTGCCTGTCGTACGCCTTGACGCCGAAGTGCCGACTGCACGTCGGGCACGTGCCCTGCTCGTTGGCCCGCGTTGGCGCGTTCGGCGTGATGGTCGTGCCACACTGCTTCTGCATCGTCGAGTCCACCTGAAATTTATCGATGTTTCAGTTTCTTTGTTACTTTGTTCTTTTTCTTTTCTTTGAATGTTACTCAGGCACGAGAGAGGAAAGCGAAGTGAAGCGAAGTCACAAGTCTTCTTCGACGTCATCTTGGTATTTACTCACTGCGACGCAGTTCAACAACGTGCGTGTACAAAGTTCTGGATGTTCGATCGTGATGTGGAAATCTGACTGATGTGACAATTCGAAAGGAAAGGAAATGGATGGCGAGCAAATTGTGATTTTTACAAAACGCCTCGCTGACGGAGAATTCACACCGCACGCATGAATGCGCTCGTTTGCGATGCATCTGGGTTAATCTACCTGCGATTCTCACCTCACTCAACCGCCTGTCTGTTCACCTTTTGCAATTCAACCTCGCGCGCAATCTAGCATTTCTCAATTATTCCAATGATTTGTACGTTCATTAGTTTTAAACGTATCAGTTGCCCGCGATTTTACAGATTCATTTACAATTTCGTTGCGCGCCGCGCGGATGGCCCGCAGGAAATCATCGTGCGTCTGTTTAATCTACCTGCGATTCTCACCTCACTCAACCGCCTGTCTGTTCACCTTTTGCAATTCAATCTCGTGCGCAATCTAGCATTTCTCAATTATTCCAATGATTTGTACGTATTGTCTGTCGTTCGTTAGTTTTAAACGTGTTGTCAGTTGTCCGCGATTTTGCAGATTCACTTACAATTTCGTTGCGCGCCGCGCGGATGGCCCGCAGGAAATCATCGTGCGTCTGTTTCCAAGTGGATCCGGGCTTGGATGATTTGTCGTCCGGCGAGCGTCGTCGTTTGCTCCTCTCCTGCCTGGGCAGGAATTCAGCCAGCTCGGTGCCCTGGATCCTCTGCTTGGCCGAGTCGAACGGCTTCCTCTTCTTGCTCGACGATCGCTCGCAGATCCTCGAGTGCTTCTCCAACGACTGCGGCATAAAGGTCCGTGCGCAGATGGCGCACGGCAGAAGGATGGGCGGCACATCTGTGTCCATTTACCAAGAATTAGTCAGGCTGCTCTCTCTGCGATCCCTCTGTTCTGACAGGCACACGAGAGACACGCGTCCGTATATGGGGCAGAGTGAGTCAGAACGATCGAAACTCGTCGGCCAACATCGGTGAACCGATATCGTCAACGTGTCTTCGACGTAATAACGCTCTCGTCGACGAGTCCATGATTTCTGACCGCGAAAAGAATCGATCGCAAAAAATTCACTCGACGATACGGGCGTGCACGACCTGAACGCGTCGAGAGATCAGAATTGAATTTATTCCACGACCAATTGATTTCAAACTCTAATTCAAACTACCACCCAAAACTTGTAACTCTACGAGCACTGTTACTTCAGTTTTTAGGTTTTAGGTTCAGTCACTTTGGTTTCTAGCTAATTCACGACGAGACAGAGGGGACAGAAACGCGAGGATCGACAAGTGATCCGGCAAATCGAGCACCGATCGCGGCCACCTGCGTGTGACTCTACCATTGGAACGACAACGAGGATGAGGACGAGGTGTCGCCCCCGCAAGAACTGCTCGCCCACGAGCGAGCAAGCTTCCTTTTTTGGCGCAACCGAGTCACCGTTTCAACCGTTGCTGCGTCGCGGAGGAGAACTGCCGCGTGTTGTTCCAGTGCCGGTGCGATTCCTTCCGTCCTCGCTGGTTTTCCAACGCGACGACGACGACGACGACGACGACGACGACGACGACGACTCGCTTTTTCCACGACCACCTTCTTACCCAACGCGTCCTCAACGCTTGCCTTTTTCCAACGCGTCACCTTCGCACGCGAATCCGTAACACTGCCGACGCGTTATTTACCGACGAATGACTTTCGTTCTCCATGTACGGATCACAGTCTTTGCATCTGAGAGGAGAGATTTACGAGATTGCGTGTTTTTCTGATACCTCAGACAGAGAATTCTGCTATCGAGAACATTTGAAGGAGCGATTTTATTTGAACGAGAAGCAACTGATTTTTGCAGTAAGGAGCAAACTGGATGGCCCTTTGGGAGAACGTCGTTCGTCCATGCGGAGCGAATTTTAACGGTACAAGTATCGCCGAGGAGATCCGAAACGACAATTAAATAAATTGCAGCAAGGTGTAAATGGAAACGTTGAAACGTGTTCCCTCGTTACCAACCGGGGAGATCTGATGAATTATTTATAACGCTATTTTTAGGAACGTACGATTCTGTCGTTTGCAACGTGAATAACAGAAGGCAGGGATAATGACGAATCTAAATAAACGGAGAAAGATCGTAAACTGTGAAAGAAAAAAGTAACATGAACCGATATTAATTTTCATACATTCCGCCGACTAAAATTTATTTTATCTGTTCACTTCAGCATAGTGAAAAAATCGCCGCTCGAGAGAGGAGAAGAATGTCCAAGTTCGACACACAATGTTCAAAGTCGACAGAGAGACGCTATTTCTTCGAAATGACGAAAGAAACGATCTGCACTTTTCCTGCACTACGCGAGCCTTTACCTGGTTCGTTCGATTCCTCGAGCCGAATTACTTTCTCCAAGCTGACGAGTTGCTCTATCGACGAGGAATGATCGTAGGGCGGACCCCGGCTCGTCGTCCCCGCGACAGCTCTTCTCGAAACGCAGCACAACATCGGAGAGCATCGGAGACGCGTCGACTGAGCCTCTCGATCGGCACGAGGCTGTTCTTGTACACGCGACGCGCGTTCTTGTATCCGTGATCTCGTTCTCTTCTCTTGTTAAATACAGTTTATTTTAGGTGTCACTGCGAGAGCATCAAGAGCGCTCTCTCGCTCCCCTCCGCCTCTCCCCCTTCCTTCCTTCCTTCCTTTCAACAGCGACGGAATTGATACTCTCGCGCGACGAGGAAAACCTTGATCGCTTGATTCTCTCGACTTAATTTCCGATTAAGTCGGACATATCGAGAGAAACATTTTCCCAGAAGTTTCGAATACGATTTACTGCGATCGATGAGGAAGGTTCAACGATTCGTGGAATCGCTGCCTAGAGTTGACTCGCAAAGAACTATCGATTGCGCTTGGGCAAGCTCGTGTACTTGATTTCGTTTTACGAGTCCCGCTTCCGGTAAATAAGTATATAATGCGGCCACTGGGACGACATGCAACCGCGGATCACGATTAAACGTAATGATTTAATGTCACGTGGACACGTCAAAGATTTGATCAATAAGAGGGCATTCAAGACACACAGAGGTGCATAATGTATTGATGTGAGAATCGTCTTCGATTATTCAAACAGTTATTACCGTTATCGGTGCTCGATTTGAAGGAAAATTGCTTGCGTGGAAAATGAAAATTAGTTAATAAAGGGAAATGATCGCATCATCTACGAAACGTCTAGGAGAATAATTTTGGAGAGATAATCAACTAGAATGATGAAATGAAACGCCGATTAAACAACTTTTGGACGAAAGACAGGCACGCAATGTGAACAAATGTTGTCGCAAAGTTAACGTTTATCATTTATTACGTGAAACATTATCACACGTCCGATGAAGTAGTTGAAGCATGATCACATGTCGACTATCGATTCGCCAAGCATCGATACGACGTTGTGCGCACAAATTAGAAACACCTTACCTTGTCGAAATTATTTTTCGTTCACTTTTTGAGAGGCAACGATCAACAGACGAGGATCGGCGATATTTACTCGGACCCGTTGCTAGCTGCTCCCTTTCCCGAGTTTACGCGTCCCGAGCACCTTCGCGTCCGCGTGGCTCTCCCGTATATATATTATTAGAAAACGGCCCCGGCCGCCGAAAAACCGCAACCGGACGGAAGTGCAGCGACGAAGAAAAACTCGCGCGGCGATCGCCGCGATCTCTCGGCGCGTTATTTGTGTCGGACAAGCCGGGCCTGGCCTCGTAAATACCAACAGAGAGCCGTTTGACATACGCAAACTTACCCTCGACCTCCGCCATGTTAGTTGTTAGGGGAAACAATGAGCGCCATGGTAACCGATGACAGGTCCTCCGACTGTTGATGACCGCAGCGAGGTTTGATCAAATTGTCCGATTGCGTGGCACCACCCTCAGGCCCTCATCTCATTATCGATTTACTCGTTACTCAAATTTCGTTATGCCGGACTAAAGCTCGAGCAAGATGAACTTGAAGATTCTCCACACACGCGTATTATTGTTTCGTGGAGTTCATTTAAAGCGCGGAGTCTTGACGATGGTTTTCTTAGTCTTTTTCTTCCTGCGACATATTAGAACCGATTATTTATTACTGTATGAAAGTAATAGACTTGGGAAAAGAAGGGTAGCGATTATTTATTTTTTTTTTTTTTTTTGTTTAGAGCAAAAAAATGTGTCGTTTGCAATGCTATTTGTGGTGAACCGTAGCTACCATTCTTCAACTATACTAAACTCAATCGCCGGAAGCGATAAAATTAGTAGCAAAGATCTCCCATTCGTTGAACTCTCAAATGAATGTTTCGCAATGCTTGTTTCTAATTTAGGATATCATATTTGAAAAAGACTGAGAAAGTGTTGTCAGAAATTTTAGCTGGTCTGTGTTGATTTTTCTTTTTTTTTTTTTTTGTTTCTCAATAACCATTTAGTTGAAGATAATTAATTAATTTTTGTTATTTCATGATCCTCTCAGCGGACATGGAACAATCGATTCTGATACTTTATACTTTTCAGGAAATGAAACCACGAATGTGATCAAATTAATGGTCGAATAATCTCGAAGGGATTTGGCGAAACTGGGTCGATTGTTCCAAGAATTGTAGCAGTTATAGAAGATAGTGTCAAATTAATAACTCCAAAAAACCGAATTAGACTTTGGATAAGAAGATTAGACAATGGTTGTATACAACAATGATTAATAAAAATTAAAAGAAAAATTATTAAATATATGTTACACATTTTTCTGTATAACATTTATCTATTACATTTTCTGTATAACATTTATCTATTACATTTATCTATTATATAAAACATGCTTTGTACTATCAGCATTGTACTATCATATAGTTTAGAATTCAGAAAAATGAAATTGAAGTTTATATGAATATTAATCAAAAAAGATAAGTGTTGCGAATTAATTAGTTGTATGAATTAACTATAAAATGTGTAGACAATAAATTAGTAAAGTGAGTCTTTGTGAAAATTTTATTTTATTTATGAAAAAAGTTGATAAATTAATTCGATATATGTAAGTAAAACCATGTGCAATGAACATAATGTTGAATAACCAAACGATTAAATAAAACTTTGTAATTTAACATTTTTTTGTGAAGATCATATTATATATCATTAATTACGTATTCACGAATAATTTTGATAAAAATTTTCGATAAATTTGGCAAGAAGTCAAATGTCATTCTACCGACGGATAGATCGTTTCGATCTATTTCAAAAATTTGCAAATAATTATTCATGCACGTTGCGGGTGAAATGAGGCATAAGAGGAAAGGTCAGAATCCAAAATTAAAAATACAATCGCGAAAGTTCGTAAATTAATCTGGCTAATTGGTTTTTTTTGCAAATGAAAATTTTGTCAATTTATGGACAGTGAAACGCTAGCGTTGCGTTGCGGTGAAATGGTGGAACTAAAATCTGTCCCTGTCCTTGTCGCATACTGGTGCGCTCCTTGTCTGTCACGCTATGAAAGTCTGTCTTTGTCGCACACTATTGCGTTCTTTCTCTCCGAATAAGATATGTGCTGCCATCAGTCGGTAACTGTAGAAACTAAAACCGACTATTACCGACACCGATTAATATAGGTGCTGCCATCTAGCGGATTTTTCTTGTTTGCCCTTTTAGTTCCAGGTGAAATTAAGAAGTGCACAGGTGGCAGCATCATCGATAAACAAGGAGAGCACTAATGTGTGACAAGGACAATGACAGATTTTAGTTCCACAGTTTCGCCGCTACGCGACGCTAACATTTCACTTCCCATAAATCAACCAAATTTTCATTTATAAAAAAACTAATTAAAAGAACTTATTTTTGAACTTTTTGTAATTGAATTTTTCAAATTAAAGCCTCATATTTCTTCCTATGTTCCATTTGATTTGTAAAATGCACAAGCAAAGATTTAGAAATTTCGTTCAATAGATCGAAACTTTCGTTCTACTAATGTTTAAATTTTGGCAAAGTATATTAAAAATTTAATACCTGTAAGTCGACTACTATAAACTTTACTTAAGAAAAGAATTAATTAAGGAAATTAATTAATGGACTTTTGTAATTGTATCATATATGTAATTATAAAATAAAGCATAATTTCTGATTCATCAGATTTATTTTATTTCATTATTAAAACATACATAGATTCTCTTCTTTATAATGACATGTACATAAATTGAACAAATTGTTTAAACTAAATGATGGAAACAAAATTGATTACACCCTAATAACATAAAAGATTATTCTACAAAAGTATTCAAAATTTACATCAACATTAAAAATTCTCAATTGTCGATTATCATTATTTTGCATAGTATTGTTTCAAATCATCATTACCGTCGTACTATATATGTTCTTTAAAAGTTTAAAAAATATCAGAAACATAATATTACTATTTTGCAAAGATATTAGTGCAAAAAGAATTAACGCAAAATGTTAAGATTTATGAGGAAAGAAATTCTTATTTGTTTCCAGGTATTTAGTTTTTAAACTGAATTATGTATACATTATGTGTAATGGAGGTTATATAACCTAATTGTAATAAATAATTTTCCATTTATTTTATTGATAAAAATTTTATTTTTGTACACCAATATAACATTATTAATAACACTGTCTAAAAAAGTTTCAAATAGATACACATATGTATATATTTACAATATACAATTATGTATATACATATTGTACATGCATACATATACAAACATATACATTATTACATTATACTTATCATATATGTATATTGATTTACAAGAATCTATTTGTTAGAATCTAACAGGAATTGTAAGATTATTTTAAATTATTTGCTTTACATATGTGAATGTTGTAGGTAAAAAAATGCAATACGAGAACTTTTTATATAAATAGAATGTTGCGTTCAGAAGAAAAGTATCTAGAAATTAAGGAAGATAATGGAGTAAGAAAACATGTTATGTTTACACAAAACTAATACATACCTATAAGTTTCCTATTGCCAACAAACATTAATTTTAGATCTACTGTGAAGAAACAAATCTATTTGCTATTAGCTATTAGCTGTTATTAATTCAGTTATTATTAATATTATAAACATACCGTTAAATCATGTTTCTTTTTGCAATTAGGTAAGGACATTGATATTGAATCATCCTGCATCTCGTAATTCGTTATCTTTGAAAATGTTGGAGTCTTTATTAACAAATATTAAAAAGGATGAAGATAATAAAGATCTTCGGTCTATAGTTATCAAATCTGGATTAGAAAAAGTATTTTCTGCTGGGCATAATATAAAGGAACTGGTTTGTAGATGGATCAAGAAATAATATTAGTGGGGACTTTTTTAATATAAGAATTTACGTTCGTCACAGAGAAATGATTGGCTTGCGTCATTTAGACTGGTAACAACGAGAATCTTCACAAGGAAATCTTTGAAACATGCTCAGAGTTGATGCGAGCAATGACTCAAAGTCCTGTTCCTATAATTGCTGCTGTAGATGGTATAGCAACTGCAGCTGGTTGCCAGTTGGTTATTGCATGTGACATTGCTATTTGCACTGAGAGAAGTTCATTTGCTACACCAGGGTATATACATTCTATGTACTAGATACAAATTTAAATATAACTGCAAATTTCTTGCCATATATAAATATATTTATCGCCACATTTTAGAGCCAATATTGGAATATTTTGTTCTACACCAGGTGTTCCCTTGGTTCGAAATGTACCTAAGAAGATTGCAACGTATATGCTGTTCACAGGTTTTACCATTAGTGGTAAAGAAGCATATGAAGCAGGGCTTGTCAGCAAAGTTGTACCAAATGATAAATGTGGTAAGTTCATTAGAATAGTTCACTGAAATGCAACCAACATTTTATCTTATTCTTTACCTAGAAGAAGAAATTGAAAAGATTACTGCATCTATAAACATGAAGAGTCGTTCGGTTGTTCATGTTGGGAAAACATTTTTGTATGAACAATTAGATCTTGATATATTAACTGCATATTCCTTGGGAACTGAAAAAATGATTAATTGCTTAAAAATGAAAGATGCTCAGGAAGGAATCACAAGTTTCATTGAAAAACGAAAACCTGTTTGGTCTCACGGTTATGAAAAAAATTAATATGGACTGATATATGGAGATTATATGTTACAAATTTTCAATAATTAAATGGTTTTTGTTACTTTTATGGAAGATGTCATAAGTATGTGACTACTTTTATTGTATTTTTATATTAAACTGTTATAATTTTCACATAATTAATAATATTGTTATTTCCATTATCCTATATTTGTTAATTAATTCTTAATTTCTTTCTTTATAATATAATTTTAGGGCAGAATACGATATTCTAATGAAGTTTCCTCTGTTTCAATAGTGCATATCTAGGTCATATAACAAGGAATGATAATTCCGTATTTTAAATTCGAAAGGTCTTGGCAGAGATAAGAAACTCGTGGTGGTCGGCAGTGTCAGCAATCTCGGACGCTGATATCTTGACTACTCATTGCAGTTTTTTTCTTCTTCTTTTATTTTTTTTTTCTTTTTATTTTCCATTTTGTCTGTCGTCGAATCTGTCTCCCCCCACTTGTTTGTGAGACAAGTTCATAAATTGAAACCAATTCATTGTTACATGAAGTTAGTACGACGTTGGGTCCTAACAAAGTCAGAGCATCGAATCTTTTGTTTCTAAGACGATAAAAAAAGTGCATTTGTTTGTTGTATATATTTTTTATATATATTTCTATATTTATTTCTTTCTTTTCTTTTTTATAAACGACCTTGTGATTGATCGATGATCGTTTTGAGAAATTTTTATCAAGACTGCATGAAGTTTGGAGCATTGAAACAAGGCCGAGGATTCCGGTGGGTGGGAATTCAACATCCCAAAATTGAGAACTGCGAAGAAAGTGTAAGAACGATAAGCGTTAAAAGAAGGTTAGCAGATCTGCTCTTCGAAATTTGCAAAGGTGCATTTGCTTAAATATTTTTGTATTTAGTTTCATTTTTTAGCAGACAAGTGTCTTTAGAAAAAATTTGATAGAAATTGACATCGATGTTCTACGATTTGAAGTTTGAAGTATTACTGAATATTGTGGATGATTTGTCGCAGATTGTGAAAGAATGGCCGCTATTCCGCAAGGTGCATTTGCAGCGTGCAAAGTCCGCTCTAATCTAGAGCGCAACGATATGATAAAACTAAAACCGTCAATGAAGGAGAGGGGAAAAGCGGGTAAAGAAGGCACATTCAATATGAGACCCCCATTGGAAGGTAATATCAAATTATAAATTATATAAATTATCTATTCTGTTTATACTACACTATCACTGACTAACGAACAAATTTAGAACGTTATGAACATAGTGTTTTGAAATATATCAAATCTATTTTTCAAACAAAACTATTTATATCAAATTAAATTAGTTTACGTAAACGTATTTTTTGAGTCCACTAATATTGATACAGTGCAGTAATCGTGTATATTCAAGTTGGACATAAAATTAATTGCTCTTCATTTGTAGGTTTGGAGCTCACACCGTTAAAGTATAACAGCAAGCTAATGAACAGCATCTGGGGACTTTACAATCGTTATTCGGTGCATAATTTTAAGAAAAACAACTCCAACGATGGGGTGTTTGGTAAGTTCGTGGCGATTTGCGAGGCTACTTCACACAGCCATGCACACGCCGCGAACTCGGTGACTGCAACTGCATTTGCCAGCAATAAAATTATTGCAAATTATGCAAATAATTGATTATTAATTCAAGCATAACGATTGAAACGAATTCATAACAATATTATAGAGATTTGCAACAGTATTGCATATTCTTTTTACCATTTTTTAAATTGTATATAAATAAATAAAGTGCTTATAGTGCAACTGGTCAAATCTTAATTTGTGCGAGATCTCTGCATGTAATTTAAAAACATTATTGTAACATGTCTTTCACTACTAAAATATAGCGATGGACAATACATGGGAAAATAAAATGCATGAAATTATATTCCAGTTACAATTAAATGCAATTAGGAGTTACATATAATTCTATTTACATTTTTAAAACATCAGAATTTAAACGAGGTATAATCTTGTCGCTAGAAATGAATACATGTATATACAAATAACTAAATATTTCCTTTAATTAAAATGGATATTACGATTAGGAAAACTACATGAAGAGAAGGTCAAATCGGAGGTTTGTCCTAGGCAAATGACGCTCTTTTCAAAATTACTCGAACAATTATTCTGATTACATTTCTGAGTTGTTCGACGTATTACATAAGTTCTTGGTTTTCTACGTTCTGGAAAATCCTCAATATTGCTGGAACTATTAGAAATATTGATATCCAAAGAAACTAACGAAGATGATAAATCTGATTTTGTTGTGGGTGGTATGTTTTCGAACATACTGTCGTTTATAGGTAAATCGTCACTTATCCTCTGCACAGTTTTCTCCATGGGAAAGTTTACCTCGTCTTTTTGATCGTTCCACTGAGTAAAATTGTTTCGTCTCTTGCACGAGCATTGTTTACAACAAATTTTCCTCAAACGTGGATAATCTCTCACATCGTTGATCTCTCCACATACCGTAAACGTGCGCTCGTTCGAATTTCTTATGATCTCTTTCGTTATCACAGCGTTCTTCATCTTAGAAAAGCAAAGATTCGGTTGTTTATGATGAAAATTCAAATGCTTGGACTTTCGTCTCAGTTTCACCACTTTCGTTTGCGTGTATTTTGTTGCGGGCTGTTCGTCATTATTGTCCGACAGAACTATTCTCGCATTCTCTGGACAATTTTTAAAAGAGCACGAATCCGAAAAGATATTCACATTGAAATCAGATGGGGAGGTCATTGGATTTTCTATTTGGAAATCTAATTCACAACTTATTTCGGAACAATGTGGGGCAAGAGTTGCATATTTCTTTGGAAATATTATTTTATTATATCGTTCATGTTCATGTTTCGTAAATAGAAATCCATCATCGTTAACGTCATCTACGTTTCCAATGGGTATGATTGCTGGTGATTTTGCGATACATCGGCGGCTTTCGAGTTTCCCGTTCGTTTGAATGCCTCGACTTTTAAGATATTTAATCCTAGTTGGTATTTCTAATAGATTTCCTTTCTTTCGAGTACGAAAGACGTAACTTAAAAACGAAGGCAATCGAGGATCCATATTCGTGCAAGGATAATAAGTCTGGTAATTGGGATACATAAGAATTATTAGGTACTTGTATCATTTAATTAGTTTGTTTCTTTAATTCGCTACTTGAAAATTCCATGTGAAATATTATCGAAATTAATGAGAAAAAAGGATGAAACAGGTAATAAAGATTAGTTTATAAAAAATAAACATATCATAATAAAACATCACATAAATGTAAGTTTGTATACCTCTTGATCTTTGCCATACTTGCGTTCTTTTCTCAATGAGTATATGCTTGTTACTTTCCTCATGTATTTTTTTAATTTACTTAGAACATTAGTCTTGCTGCTGCTGTTTCTTTTAAAAACACTCGCACACGAATGATTCTCTTTACTTTTCGAATAACTATTTCTTAACATGTTAATTTCAGCGCGTAGCTCGTCCATATTGTTGGCTAGTATTTTCATTTGATCGATTACTTGGCCCAGTTTTCGTTGATCGCCGTAACACGTTGTCATACTGGTTCTAATCAGATTAAGACAAATAATTTTCGAAAACTAAAATACAATTTTTACGTACCACGTAAATCATCGTCATACTTTACTAAAAAAAAAAAAAAAAAAGAAATCCTTGATAATAAAAAATTTTCTCATCATTAGTATAAAGATATATCGAGTTTCATTTTTCAAGAACATCAAGTGTTACAACGTCGACGACGGGTTATAAAATATAACCAACGAAACGAAAATTTACCGACACATACACGCTGAACAAGAAGGGAAAAAATTGACTAACGGAAGATTCAGATGTTCTGGAGAGCAATTAAGGGACTACGGGCTCGTATTAAATATCATTTATTTGATTCGTCGTATGTCCTAGGTACATCGTCAGTCGGTGTCGTGTATCATAGTGGATCGGCTATTGACGCGAGAAGTTTGCTTTAATACAAAATGAAAAAAGAAACAAGAGAAAA